ATGGACACCTTATCAAACAATATCTATAGGTGCTAAGTAAGCATATGAGAGAAATACTCATTATCACATTGTTAGGAAATTGTGTGTGGAGGGGGTACTGGGGATTGAACCCAAGTCCTTTACATTGAGTTATTATCTCCAATATTTTTTTGCTTTTGAGACAGGGTCTTGGTTAGTTGCCCAGGTGGGGTTTAACTTGCAAGCCTCCTGCCTCAGCTTCCCAGGGTTCTGGGATAATGGTCACCCAGCAAGGAAATTACTATTTAAAATGAGACACTACCACACGTAGTCAGAATGGCTAAAACCTAAAACACAGATAACATCAAATGTCAGTGAAGACACGGGGCAGTTTTGTTGCTGGTGGTGATGCAAAATGGTATAGCCACTTTGGAAGATGATGTAGCGGGTTTTTCTATTTGTTTGTTGGTTTTGTCTTTTTGAGACAGGGTCTCACTATGCAGTTCAGGCTGGCATTGAGCTCATTTTGTAGCTTAGGCTGGCCTTGAACTCAAGGATCCTCCTGCTTCAGCCTCCCGAGTGCTGGGATTATAGGCGTGGGCCACCACGCCCGGCCGGTTTTTGTTTTGAGACAGGGTTTCACTATTTAGTCCAAGCTGGCCTCAAACTCACGGCAATCCTCCCACCTTAGCCTTCTGAGTGCTGGAATGACAGGTGTGCACCTCCACATCCAGCTATCAGCAGTTTCATGTAAGATGAAGCAATTTTACTATATAACCTAGCACAGTTGGCCTTAGGTATTTGCCCAATGAGCTGAAAACTTAAGTACACACGAAAATCTTCACATGAATGTGTATAGCAGTCCTATATATGCTCACTAAGAGCTGAAAGCAACCAAGGTGCCCTGAAATAGGAATGGGATGAACAAAGTGTGATGACCCAGACAAGCCACAGCCTGGAGAACATATTTGTAAGACCCATAAAGAACATGTGTGCAAAATACACAAAGAACTCTTGAAACTTAACAATAAGACAGTATAGATAACAATAACGTCCTGTATATTTTTTAAAGGTAGAAAAAAGGAGTGCCTATATGGAATAAAAGAAGCCCATCTGAAGGGCTACGTACCGCGTAAGTCCAGCCTCAGGACACTGGAGAGGCAACACTACGGACAGGGAAGAGATTAGAGGGGTGAAGTGTCACCACAGGCTCTTGGGAAGTCTGCACGGAGATAAGCAGCTTAAGCCCACCCTCCCTGCTGGGGAAGTGCGGGTTGCCAACTCCCATTTCCAAAAATGAATTTTCAGGTCAGACCCGCAGGAGGCCTACAGGGATTCATTAGACAGGAACTTAAAAGTGCACAACGAAACAGCACAGCCTTCGAGGGGGCACATTGTCCCCCCCCCCAGCTGGCAGTATTTATGCTTCCCGTGAGGGGGTGGAAATTCCAGGAAAAAAGATAACCCCTGCCCCAGAAGGATATTGGCCAATTTTACAGGTGTGACCCCAGGATTTTTTTTTTTTTTTGAGACAGGGTCTCGCTATGCAGTTCAGGCTGGCCTTGAGCTCACTCTGCAGCCCAGGAAGGTCTCGAACTCGCAATGGTCCTCCTGCCTCAGTCTCCTGAATGCTGGGATTACAGGAGTGTGCCACCATGCCCGGTGACCCCAGGATTTTTAAAAGATAAATAATTTAATCATTTTCTGAATTCTCTTGACTTGTCCCTTTATCTTAGGAGCAGGTTCCTGCTCTTTTACTTTTTTAAACTAAGCCAATTTATGGGCTTCCAGTATTCTTGAGGAATTTGGGGTGTGATGGAAGGAAAGGAGCCTAAATTAACCAAGGGAGTGCCTGTAGGGATTGCCCTGGGTGGCTTTGGCTGGGTCCTGGGAGTTACCATCTTCCTAAAAGTACAGTTTTTACTCTTGATTTTCCTTGTCTCCTTTCTATCTTTTACTCAAGGAAGTTTTAGGAAACTGAAATTTAGGAAGTATGTTAACACTGTAATGGTGAATCTGTAACAATATGCAGTTGTCAAAACCCATAGACTAAAAAAGACCCATGGAATGTACAACACAAAGCAATGTACACTGTGGACTATTTATTTTTGTAGTAGTACTGGGGGTTGAACCCAGGACCTTCATGCTGAGCTGTCTTCAGCCATAGCTGGAGCTATGTCTCCCTTTTAAATTCATACACTGGGGCCGGGCATGGTGGTGCATGCCTGTAATCCCAGCACTTGGGAGACTGAGGCAGGAGGATCGTTTGGAGTTCGAGACCAGCCTGGGCTACAAAGTGAGCTCAAGGCCAGCATGAACCACATAGCAAGACCCTGTCTCAAAAAGACAATACATATATTATATATATTATACAATATGTTACATATATTGTATATTATATAATATATATATTATATATCACGTTAATTCAAGATGTTAATAACCAAGGAAACTGGGTTGGGTTAGATATGTGGAACTCAACCATTTGCACAAGTATTCTGTAAATCTAAAACTGTACTCAAAATAAAATCTGTTATCTATTTTGAAAATGATGCTGCTAATTCTCTGAGCCTACACTGTAAGCCCATTAAACACAGACACGTTGTGGTACGTATAAGGTTTAAATATATCCAGCACCTTTTAGTAACTCAGCTAACGCACCATATGCAGATGGACAGCTGCTCTGTTTTGTCTGGAACTTTGCCAAGATGGTCACCATTTCAGAAAATCACACCTCTCGCGGTCTCTACACGGCCCGTTTCAGCGCATGCCCCGTGATGTGTGTGCGTCTATCGCTGTGCTTTTATAAGAGGGGCCAAGCAGCTGCCGGCTTTAGGTGCCTGTGCACAACATATGCACATATTATTATATCACTAAACGCTTTTCTTTATTTTCTGTAGTATGCTTGGGATAGTATATTGACGTTAACGTTTTCCCTGTCTAGCTTTTGCAATGTCTGAATTTCATGGCAGGATGATTTGTTATCACAAGGATAGGATAACTGAACCTAACTGAGCTGAGGATCCTTCTTGTGTTTTGTTTTGTTTTGTTTGTTTTTGGTACCGGGAATCGAACTCGGGACCTTGGGCTTGCCAGGCAGGCGCTTGTGCCGCTGAGCTATATCCCTGGCCAAGGCTCCTGTGAAATGCGATCCAACTCCTTTCTCAGCCCTAGGGTCTATCATAATCAGCTCTGCTTCTCCTCCCAACTCCAGCCAAAGGGATGGGCGAGGTCGCCAGAGTTCCAAAGGCAGCAGTCTCTCCCTCCCTAGGCTTGGCACAGGCTGTTCTCTGCCGGCAATGCCTTTACTCTCTTCCTCCAGCGCTCAACAAACCACAGCTCCTCAAACCTCCATGCCTCACCTCCACCTGCAGCCCCCCTTGCCGTTCTTTATTTCCTTCAAATGACTCATTTCTCATAAATACATTGATCTTTTCCAGGAAAAGTTTGTATCACCATCATAAATAGGAAACCAACCTGAATAGCCATAAAAATAAAGCAACCCTAAAAATAAACACCAGGGAAATGAACGGCATTATCTTGTATTTAGATATATAATTGTCGGGGCTGGGGATTTAGCTCAGCGGCACAGCAACTGCCTGGTAAGCGCTAGGTCGTGAGTTTGATTCCCAGTACCGGAAAAAAACAAAACAAAACAAAAAGATATAATTGTCAGCAGATGCCAAAGCTACCTGTGGGTGGAGGCGGAATTAAAACTGGCGTTAAAAACGTGTTAGCACTGAGCTGAGCGTTTTCCGCCTTGATATATCTCAAGACTTGAAAGAAAACTGAAGAGTAACTTTTTCGGTGTAATTGAATGCTGTCCTAGTTCTCCCTAAAGTCACCCACTTGACACTGCCAGCCAATCCATTTGTCACCAAACATTCATCAAGCAGCCTGAATGGAGCAGGCAGCGGCGCTCAAAGCGCGCAATAAAACAGTGAAGCGGACAAGCGCGCACTCCGCCCTGCAGATCCACAGCGTGCTGAAGGAAAAACACAGGGATCTGGGAAGGGCTATAAAACGCCCTCACTTATGAACATCAATTGTAGGTTAAAGCCTCTTGCGTCTCCAGTATCCGAGAAACTATACCCATTTGTAAACTGTGAGACAGTCGGGACCAAATTAATTTTGAAACTGTGATGATTTATGATCTTTTCAGTTTTCACAGGGAAAACTGGACTTGAGCGCATCTGCATATATCTGATGAGCTGTGAAGGGAGACCGCTGAAATAATGTTTTTAAACCCTCAGACGTGAGGAGAACGCGCGCGGCGTGGCGTGGAAAGCGCCTGGGTTTAGCTCCAGGACCCTCCCGCGCCTTTGCCTAGTTCGTCCCTCGCGGCTCATGGCGTTGCTCTGCCTCGCCGCCGCCGGGGAGCTCACCCGGCACGCCGGAGCCTCCTCCGCTGGCCTTAAAGCCTGGGCGCCTCCCCAAGAATCGGCTGGTCCGATTGTCTTGCAGACCAGCCCCCGGGGCTCCCCCAGCATCAGCACCTGGCCCTCTCCTCAAGGGATCCAGCTCTGCGCAGCCCACCAAGACTGCGGCGACGGGCGGCCGCACCTGTTTCTCGGCGAGCGAGGCCCAGCTCACGTTAAACCGGGTTAAGCCGGGTTGCGGGGAGGGGCTCTGCAGAGGCGCCCTCCATGGGCCCTGACGTTAGGGGGCGTGAGCGTGGCTCCGGCAACGCCTAGGAGCTCGAGAAGCTGGAGAAGCCGAGGCCAGGTCTGCGGCGCGCAGGGAAGAGCGGGCGGGGCGCCCCCCTTCCCCGCCCCCACCCCACTGTGCTCCGCGGAGGGGCGTCGGGGCCGCGGAGAGCGGAGGCGGGGAGACTCGGTGACGGACCAAGCCCGCAGCGGGCAGGGTCTAGAGACCCTAAATTAGGCCAGGTCGGATGCCTGAGCCCCGAAAGCAGGCAGAATGGGGGTGGGGCGGGCGAGGGGTGCGGTCCCGCCCCGGGGGCGGAGCCAAGGCTCCAGCCCGCGGCGTGCGAGACCCGCGGAAATCCGTGCCGGCTCCCTCCCTGCGTCCCGGGATTGAGGTCGCAGCTCGCGTCCTCCGGCCTCCAGCTCTACTGGGGCGCGGGGGCGGCCTCCGCAGCCCGCTCCCACCCTGGCGCTTTCGGGGGCGACCATGGCGCGGGGACACGCCCCGCGGGACAGGTGAGTCGGGCTAGCGGTGCGTGCGCGGGGCCCCGGGGCCGTGGGTGGCGCTGCCCGGCTCCCGCTGCCGCTCCCAGGCGCCAAGAACGACTGCACTACAACTCCCATCAGCCGGCTCCCGGGGCTGCCGAGCCCTGGTGGTGCAGGTTGTAGTCCGCGCTCCCGAGGGGCGCCTCGAGAGGCAGGAGGGGCGGCCCAGGCGTGCGTCCTCGGGGTGACCTTCTGACTGATCCACAGCTACCACCTGGTCGGGATCAGCTTCTTCATCCTGGGACTGGGCACCCTCCTTCCCTGGAACTTCTTCATCACCGCCATCCCGGTGAGGCTTGCCTTGGACTGACAGCCTCAGGCCACAGCCACCCTCCGTCCCTCCATCAGCATGGACCGAGGCTCTCCGGGCTCATTCCCCACCACGCCTCCTTTACTCCTTTGCATGCCCATTTGTCGGCTGAAGCACGGAGCCTCAGAAAGGAAAATACCTTTCTCCTGGCCAGGAAAGCCCGCATCTCAGAGGGCCAAGGCCAGCCCCTTAGGGGTCTGTGACCGCCAATGATCTACCCACTCACCTCCTCAGTTCGTCCTTATTTCTGGGCCAGTCACTCCAAAAGTGGTTTATGCACGCCTTTGGTTTTCTTTGCAATAGAATGAATTGTGTTCATTCATGCAAGAAACATTTCGTGTGCAACTGCTTTGGACCAAGCCCTGGAGATACAGAGAAATCATAAGACAGGGATGTTAGACACCCATCTTAGGAACCTTACTCGCAAGGGCTGTGAAAAGGCAGAAGTGTGGGGGGTGCGGCATCTTTGGGATTAGGTTATTCTTATATATTCAGTGGGACTACTTTGCAGATGTCTCTGGAATGCCTGGCTCTGTGCTGAGCCCTGCAAACCCAAAGATGAATCAGCCTCTGATCTTGAAAACAATATGGGACCAAAGTTATTAATAATGTAACATGCCAGCTGGGTGTGGTAGCATGGGCCTGCAGAGGCTGCCCCGGGAGGATTGAAAGTTCAACCCCAGCCTAGACAACTTAGTGAAACCCTGTCTCAGAACTTAAAAATAATAAATGAATAATTTTTAGGGTTTTTTGTTGTTGTTGTTGTTGTTTTAGAGCAGTGCAAACTCCCAGTTGACTCCCCAATGCCAGGGTTGGGAGGAGCATGATATCTGCCATCCCTGGCTTACAGCACAGTGTTGTGAGTCCCCCGGAGAACATTCCTTTTGCTTCATAAGAGATTTGAGGTTGGACATGTGTCTTTTTGATTTTGGTTTTTTGAGACAGGGCTTGCCGTATTGTCCAGTTTGGCTTTGAACTCCCTCCGTAGCCCAGGTTGGCTTCCAATTTGCAGTCCTCCTGCCTCAGCTTCCCCAGCACTGGGATTACAAGCATGCATTTCTACCCCTAACTTTGCAGAAGAGATTCATAAATTGACAGCTGGGTGGACAAAGTGTATGTGGGGACTGGGAGGATAGCGGGAGAGGGCATTCCAGGTGAAGGCAAGACTATTCAGAAAAAGACCCAAAGCCTGGGGTGCCTAAAGTTTTGCAGAACAGAGCAAGGAACAGAGCACAAAAGAGAGGCTGGGATCGGATTCTGAAGGCTCTCAAATGCTGTTCCAAAAACTTGGGGCTTAGTAGGGTGCAGTGCTGCACACCTGTAATCCCGGCTAGTGAAGCAAGAGGATTGCAGGTTCAAGGGCCTGTCTCAAAACAAAACAAAACAAAACAAAATAAAACAAAACAAAACAGCTAAAGTGCTTGGGGTGTTGCCTAGTGACAGAGCACTTGCTTAGGAGGCACCCAGCCCACAATCCAATCCCTATAAAACAAAACAAAAAACCCTTGGGCCTCTGCCCTGCAAGCAGTAGAGGTGTGGGTGAAAGGTGGGAAAGGGTTAAGCACGAAATGACAGGATCTGTTCCAAAAAGAATTCAGTGGGCCAGCGCCTAAAGCAGAACCTCGCTCAGGGTGAGTACTGATAAATAGCCTTAGAATTCATAAATCTAGAGGTGTGAGGGTGGGGGCTAAAGCCAAGGCCCTGAAGGGGGTTGTGTAGCAAGACCCACTGGCGGTTCCTAGGGCTTGGGCTCTGTCCCAGACTTCAGCCAATCAATTCAGTGCACATCCAGGGAGCTCTGACTGTGCCAGGGGCTGGGGACGGTACAAGGACAAGGCACCCGTAGCCAAGCAGTTACAAGCATGGGGGGTGGGCACACTGTGGTATTCCTGACCTATACTGCCTCCCCTCTGACAGTACTTCCAGGCGCGCCTGACAGGGGTCAACAGCACGGCCAGGACCCTGAGCTCCAACCACACAGGCCCCACAGACACTTTCAGCTTCAACAACTGGGTGACGCTGCTGTCTCAGCTGCCCCTGCTGCTCTTCACCCTCCTCAACTCCTTTCTGTACCAGTGGTGAGACCCTGCCCCAGCCTGCCCGTCCTTCCCCTACTCACTCTGTACTGCCCTGCCCTTGGTAGAACCTCTTGCTGGCCCTGCCCTGCCCAGCCCAGGCCTCTGAGATGCCCTCTACCCTCTTCCAAGCAGCATCCCTGAGGCGGTGCGCATTCTGGGTAGCCTGCTGGCCATACTACTGCTCTTTGCCCTGACAGCAGCATTGGTCAAGGTGGACATGAGCCCTGGGCCCTTCTTTTCCATCACCATGGCCTCAGTCTGGTTCATCAACTGTGAGTACTTCCGCCCTCCTTCCCCAGCCTCTTCCCTGAAACCCACAGGGCCCAGGAAGGGAAGACCAGCATTGTTACCCAGATCCCTGACGAAGTAACTGAGGCCCAGAGGGACTAGAAAAAAGTCACCTGCCCCAGGCTCCACAGTGACCTAGGACCAGCCTCCCAGCCCCTACCACTACAGACCAAGGGCTGAACCTCAGAAAAGGAATGTGGGGTGTTGCATCTGAATGCCCAGAGACCCCAGGAAATCTCACCTCTGCCCACTGAGTCCACATTCGCCTGCCAGTGCATCCCCCAGAACGTCCTTGAGGCCACCAGCGTGAGTGGTGGCCCCATGCCTGTCCCTCCACAGCCTTCTGTGCAGTGCTGCAGGGCAGCCTTTTCGGGCAGCTGGGCACCATGCCGTCCACCTACAGCACCGTCTTTCTCAGCGGCCAGGGCCTTGCTGGGATCTTCGCCGCCCTCGCCATGCTCATGTCCATGGCCAGTGAGTAGACTCGGAGGGATGGGGCGGCCTCCGGAGTTTGAAGGAACCCAGAGGGTGTGCAAGAGGAAGCTGCCTGGGTGGAGACAGGATGGGGTGTGGGTCTGGGGAGTGGGGACTCTTGGGGCCCCGCAGTGAGGGAGAATGAGCCGGTAAGGGCTGGGTTAACTTGGGGTGAGGGTAGGATTCCTGTGGGTGACACCAGTACATGCCAGCAGGTTGAAGGAGAAGGGGTAGGTCTGAGATCGAGCTAGATGAATTTGAATCTGTCCATCCTTCACTGACGGGTCACTGGACAAGATGTTTAACCTCCCCGCCTCATGTAAATGATGACAGGCCCCTGCTCGAGTGGTAGTGAGCCTGCACACAGTAAGAGAAAGCTTGTGCCACACAGTAGGAAAAAGTAGAATGTAGGAAGGGCTATTCCTGAGTTTGTCTGTGAAGGAAGGTGAGATGTGTACTAGAGGAAGTAGGACAGGAGTTAAAGGTCCCATGGGACTAGCCACCTCTCCTCTTCAGCTGAAGTCTCTGTCACAGGTGGTGTGGACGCCCAGACCTCTGCCCTGGGGTACTTCATCACACCCTGTGTGGGCATCCTCATGTCCATCATGTGTTACCTGAGCCTGCCCCATCTGGTGAGCCTGATACTGGGCTGGAGGACTGGCAACAGGGCATCTCAGATGGACCTCTGAGTCTGAGGCCCTGAGGGGCCAGGGGAGGTGGAAGGTATTTGTACTCAGCCCTGATTTCCCCAAAGGGTCCGCAACCAGGGAACCCCAGCCTCCAAGCCAGTAGTGTGGGGAGGGAGCCAGAGAACCTCGCCTCAGGCAGAGCCAACACTTCCTGATCCTTCTGCAGGAGTTTGCCCGCTACTACCTCACCAAGAAGCCATCACTGGTCCCAGCTCAGGAACTGGAGACCAAAGCTGAGCTCCTTCAGTCTGGTAAGCCCTGGGACCTGCAGGAGAGGTGGGAGACATGGAGGAAGCATGAGCTAGCTTCCCTTGGGAGGATTCTCCTCTAGGAAGCTCCATCCCGAGGAGACTTGTGTGAGCAGAATATCACAAGTCATCACTTTTGTTCTCAGATTTGCCAGTGGTCCACTGTTAGTGTGTTGTCACTGTTTTGGTACTAGAAGGCAATCCAAGCCCAGGTTTGTTCTCAAAAAACGATTGTATTGTTCAGAAAGAACCTGGAGAGTATCTAGAAGTAGTAGTCTCCTTATAAGCTTCTCCATGAAGTCAGGAAAGTTGTTTCTGCTGTACAAAGAAGAGAAAGTAGAGCTTCATGCAGCAAACTCTGGATCCAAATGCAGCTGAATTTGAATCTCAACTTGTGTGGTCTTAACACCTCTAGTTTCAGTTCCTAATTTTTTAATTTTTTTTTTTATCTTTTTGTTGTTGTTATTTTGAGATAGGGTCTTGCTGTTTGGTTCAGGGTGTTTGGTTCCATAAACCCACTATGTAATCCAGGCTGGCCTGGAACTCGTAGGAATTCTGCTGCCTCAGCCTCACAAGTGCTGGGAAACATGCACCACCATACCCTGCAATTTTTATCTTTTATTGAGATAGGGTCAAAAAAAAAAAAGATATAGGGTCTCATTATGTAGTCCAGGCAGGCCTTAAACTCATTGTGTAGCCCAGGCTAGCCTCAAACTCATGGCAGTCCTCCTGCCTCAGCCTCCTAAGTGCTAGGATTACAGATGTGTGCCACCACCCCCTGCTAGCCTCAGTTTCTTCACTTGCAAAGCAGTGGTGATGAAGAACACACCAGAAATGCTTATCTTGTTACCTGGAATATGCTTAATAAATCGATGGTATATTGCCATCATGAAATCCTGTCACATGCATCTGTGCTAGAGGAGGGTCACTTGTTTTAACTACTGGGATTCTCCCTTTTTGGGGCCTGGCTGTCAAGAAACCTGGGTCACAGGCATGGTACTACCCTTCCCTCTTTCCCCAGATGAGAAGAATGGGATTCCCAGCAGCCCCCAGAAAACAGTCCTGACCCTGGATCTTGACCTTGAGAAGGAGCCAGAGCCTGAGCCAGATGAACCTCAAAAGCCAGAAAACCCTTCAGTCTTCACTGTCTTCCAGAAGGTTTGGCTGGGAGATAGCTCCCAAACACTGTCCCTGGGAAGAAGCGAAGGACACCCTCTCCAGCCCTCACCAGGACTCTTGGACTAGAACAAGGCCTTAGTAGTCTTTTGTCCACTCCAAGGTTACAGGGTCATGGTAGGTCAGGGACACGGCTGGCCAGGCCTACGTGTCGTCCTGCTGGACAGGGCTCAGGTGAGAGGGTTGGGCTGTGTGCAGGGCCAGGGCTGCCCTGCCTGCTCACACCCCTGCCTCCGGCTCCCAGATCTGGCTGACGGCGCTGTGCCTTGTGTTGGTCTTCACAGTCACCCTGTCCGTCTTCCCGGCCATCACAGCCATGGTGACCAGCTCCACCGGCCCCGGGAAGTGGAGTGAGTGTTGGGGTGCTGAAAAGGATAGGGGAGCAAAGGGGGTAGAGGGAAGAGGGGAGTCAGGGACTAGGGGAATTGCCAACCCTGTCTGTCCCCCAGGTCAGTTCTTCAACCCTATCTGCTGCTTTCTGCTCTTCAACATCATGGACTGGCTGGGCCGGAGCCTAACTTCCTACTTCCTCTGGGTGAGCCATGGTTTTAGGAAGCAGTTGGCGACCAGAGGACATGAAATCACATAGAGGGCCAGGGATACAGCTCAGTGGCATAAGCGCCTGCCTGGCAAGCACAAGGTCCTGAGTTCGATTACTGGTACCAAAAAAAAAAAAAAAAGAAATCACATAGAGCGATGACTGTAACACTCCGGTTGGTCTGGCAGTGGAACACCCCAAGTGGCTGTGAGCACCTGGGCCCAGGGGCGTGCAGGTTGCACTTGTACTGAGCTCCTCACCAGCAGACGCCATGTCTAGCTGAGCTCTGTGGCCCTGGCATCCAGCCCAAGGCCCAGCTCTCATGCTTCAAGAGTGTCACAACGTGGTTCCTGCACCCAGGGAGGAGTTGGATGAGATTCCTGGGTTTTGTACTGCTTTTAGTCAAAGGATTGTTTCTTTTAAGTGACACTTCCTGAGGAGACATAGTAATTGCAGCAGACCAGAGGGGAGGATGTTGGATCTCCAGCTGTGCACCCTGCTCAGTCAAGTACTAAGTTCCAGCTGGATAGAAGAAATACGCCTGGGGTACTGTGCAGTGTACAGTACTGTGCAATAAATAGCACAGTAGGGTGACCATAGATAATGATACTGCAGTGTATGTTCCATAAAAGCCAGCAGACAAGAGTTTGAATATTTCACCACAAAGAAATGATAAATGCTTGAGGAGCTAGAGATTATTACTCTGATTTGAACGTTAGACAATGTATGCGTGTATCAAAATACCACATGGTATCCCACAAATATGTGTAATTTTAAATATATCAAAAATTATCATAGCCAGGCATGGTGGGTGCATGCCTGTAATCCCAGCACTCGGGAGGCTGAGGCAGGAGGATCATTGAGAATTGGAGACCAGCCTGGGCTACAAAGTAAGTTCAAGGCCAGCCTGAGCTGCATAGCAAGACCCTGTCTCAAAAAAAAAAAATTACCATTAAAGGAAAAGGAATCCCAGTTGCTCCAAAGGGGTCTGTGGAACCCCTAGGGGTCCCCTGGAAAAACAAATTTGAAAACCATGAATTCTGTTTAAGGCTTTCTGCAGTTCTGCGATAGAGAGAACACAAGCTAGGTACTGGGAGAGGCCGAGGCTGGCTCCAGGCTGTCCCTGCTTACTGAGTGGCCTTGGCCCAGGTTCCTGTTCCCCAGAGGCCCCAGCGCTGGATCCCCACTGGCTCATGGATAGGGCAGAGAAACTTGGGGGTCACTGATGGGTCTGTTCTGTAAGTGTCCAAAGTGCCCCTGGTACAGAGACCTGGCCCCAGGGACCACACTGACCTGAGCCTCTGCCACAGCCGGATGAGGACAGCCGACTGCTGCCCCTGCTGGTGTGCCTGCGGTTCCTGTTCGTGCCACTCTTCATGCTGTGCCATGTGCCTGAGCGGGCACGGCTGCCCATCCTCTTCCGGCAGGATGCCTATTTCATCACGTTCATGCTGCTGTTTGCCATCTCCAATGGCTACCTGGTGTCCCTCACCATGTGCCTGGCGCCCAGGTCTGGGGGACCACTGGGGCGCATGCTGGGGCTAGGGAGGGGCTGGCTATTGGAAAAAGGGCAGCCGTAAGGGGAGGATCGGGCCATTTTGCCCTGGCCAGCCCAGCAGGCTGTGTGCAGGCCTTGCTGGGTCTGAGCTGGCCCCGTACCTGTAGCTATAGAGATACTTACCTAAGCAGCCCAGGCACTGACTCTGGGGCCTCCTCCATGGGCCTCAGTTTCTCCCATCAGTAAATCAACGAGTTGGATTGTCATCCCTCAGAGCCTATCTAGCTCCAAAATTCTGTGTTAAAGGAGAACTAGTTTTAAAAAAGTGGGGGGGGGAGCTGGGGATTTAGCTCAGCGGAACAGTGCCTGCCTGGCAAGTGCAAGGTCATGAGTTCAATTCCCGGTACCAGAAAAAAAAAACAAAAAAAAAAAAAAAGGAGAACTAGTTTTGATCAAAAGCAAGGTTTGGGCCAGGCGTGGCGGCACATGCTTGTTATCCAGCAGGCGGGAGGCTGAGACAGGAGGATCTTTGCAAGTTCGAGGCCAGCCTGAGCTACAAAGCAAGCTCAAGGCCAGCCTGAATTGCATAGAGATACCCTGTCTCAAAATGACCAAAAAAAAAAAAAAAAAAAAAACAACCAAGGTTTGGGGATTGTTTCCTCCAGAAGCAACAGAGTTGAGAATCTCAGGAGAGGAAAGTTACCACAGAGGGCCAGTTTAGGGACATCATTTTGTTGAGAAGGAAGGCAGTGGAATCTAAAATCCTATAGACCCCAAAGGCACTGAGTGATGGTCTTGTCCAGTGGCCTTATTTTACAGATGGGTAAACTGAGCCCAGAAAAGGGTGAGATTGCAGTGACACAGGGATGGCTGAGGGCTTGGGGCTGCTCCAGATCTGGGATCCGTGTTTTCTAAGAGCTCCTACTTCTGTGTGTTCCAGGCAGGTGCTGCCACATGAGAGGGAGGTGGCTGGTGCCCTTATGACCTTCTTCCTGGCCCTGGGACTCTCCTGTGGAGCCTCCCTCTCCTTCCTCTTGAAGGCGCTGCTCTGAAGAGGCCATCAGGGTCCACACAGCCCTCTTCTCAGGGCCCTTCTGGAGCTGAGACCGACACAGACAAAGGACAGACCGGACTTGGGCCTCTGCTGAGCTTGGGCCCTTCCCCTGCAGGTGGCCGGAATGGGCAGAAGCTGCTCTCCATCCTCAGCTGGTCACCATTTGTGTTCTGCAGAAAACAGTCCACCATGGGGCATCCTGCCTCTCACCAGGGATGGGCTGGGGTGCAGAGGAACAGGCTTCACCGGAGCGGGTGATCAGGAAAAAGGGCACAGGGCCAGGGCCCTTCCTGCCATGGGACTGCACCTGTTCATCCCGAAGCCACTTGCTGAGCCTTGGGAGCAGAGCTGCCTACCAGAGGGGCAGTGAGGATGTGGCTGATATGGCCTCCACCTCCATTGTGAGAGGAATGGGCAGGAGCTACCTCCACCCAAACTCTGGCGACCCTGTGGTCTCATCCTTTCTACCCAGAGCAAAGGGTGCCGGGGAAGGTGTGGCGGGGTGAGGATCTGAGGGTGCTCAAAGGACCAGGCTCTGACCCTCAAAACAGTGTTTTCATGGCCAGCACTCCTGTCCTCACTCCCCTGAGCCCAGCTGGGCCTGGCTCCCAGAATGGGCCTGGCTGCATGTGTGGACCACACTTTACAGTTTGCAAAGGTTCTTCCCCCACCCTCCCTCCCCAAGCCTTACTGAGGCCCTGGAAGAAGCTGAGCAGAGATTGTGTCTCCCCATTGCACAGGTGGGGAAAGTGAGTCCCAGGAGGAGTGGTCCATGGTAGAGCAGGGACACTGGCCCCATCTCCCCACACCCTGCAGGTGCTATTCCTCCTGCGTGTCACCTGCTTTTCCTTAAGGGGCTCGGGACAGAAGCCCTAAGCATATACTTCTCACCCCACTTCTCCGTCTGACCCTGCCCCCAGGTCTAATTACAGCCCATCGTTTGTATGATGTGTTGAGTCTTTCTTTCCGAAGTGTGGGCTCATTTGGCTTCAGCAAGCTGGGTGGGGTAGGGGTAAAGCAAGACGACCATGGTAGTGGAAATAATCCACAGGGCAGACCCCCAGGGTGAGTTCACTCCTTGAACCACTGTTCACAGATTCCCGTTCGGGGCCAGGCCTTGGCTGGCTTGGAGACCCTGTAAAAGGGAGCTGTCCCTGCTCCCAAAGCTGTGAGAAGCAGTGTAGCCTGTGCTGGGGCACATGAGGACCTCCAGGAGACTGTAAGACAGGAGCCCAGAAGAGGGCGCTGCTAACCCTACTTGGAGGGCAGGTAGGCTTTCCCCAGCTGGGCCTTGAGGCTGAAAATGAGTTCTTGGTTGAGCTGGAGGAGCATCCCCATCGGAGGTGCTAGAGAATGTGGAAGGCACAAACCTGGAATACCCAATGGGGACTTCTACAGGGGTTCCTAGGGGATGAGGGAGGGGTAGGAAAGAATGAGATGAATGCAGTGGGGTTGCAGTCAGGTAATGGAGGGTCTTATGTGCAGGATTAAGAGGCCTGGCTTTATCCTGCAGCAGTCAGGGTCTGATCTGTGCTTTACAAAGAGCTTCCAGCTGCATGGGACAAAAGCAGAGGCCATGGCTGGATCGATTCCAGCAGGCAGAGGGAGGTGGGTACAAGAGATGGGAGGCCATGTAGTCCTGTGGTTAAGGTCAGACAGGCTGGCCCAGCGTCCTAGGTTCCAGACCTTTACTCCCAGCAGTGGGGACCTGAGCCTTGCCTAAGCATGGAGTACTAGAGGGAAGTCAGAGCTAGAGCTCAGACACAATTCTGGGCAAAACAAGAGCTGGAGTCCCAGGACTCTCTTGCAAAGACCTCTCAACTTGGCTGGACCCTCTGACTGGGACTGGGGGGATAGGACCAACACTCACTAGGTCCCCTTCTCCACCTTCAGAGACAACTGTTGCACCCCCAAAGCTCCTTGGGCCTGCTTTGTGGTCACACTGTCATGCTATTCTAGGTGGAGCCAAGTAGCTTGCTTATTTGCTTTCTTGCTTTTTCTTCTCAAGGCTCCTTGTCAAAAACACATTTAGCTGAGGTTACCTGGCCGAGCCACCCCTCTTTTCCTCACAAGCCTAAGGACTTTGTGAAGCAGATGCCCTGGGCACTAATATCCCCATTTTACAGATGAGTAAACCAAGGTTCCACAAGGCTATAAGTAGTGATATAGAAAGTTCCAAGGGCCCACCCCTTCAAAGAAACACTGCCAAGATGAGCAAGAACTGTTGGAACCAATTTCACTGGAACTCAGCTAGAAAATAATCCAAGCTTACAACAGCAAGTGAATGCTGGATCAGGAAAGAGGCAACTAAAAATGATAGGAGAGTTTTGCAGCATCTTACTGCCCTGTTCCTCTCCTGGGGTTGGTGATGGCTATGCAGATGGGGTCCCCAGGGGAGGACCCTGATCCTCAATTCCAGAGGGAGCAGAGCAGACCTTGTTCTAAAACAATGGTACTTAGCTGTTTGGGCCTGTCCAGGGGCTACATGAAGTGCTGATACCAGACACTCGGGTTGGTTTTACCAAACTCAAAAATCTCAGGATGGAGCTTGGCATATTACTGCACGCCTGTAATCCCAGCATTCTTGGAGGCTGAGACAAGAGGTTTCAAGTTCAGTGTAAGCCCAGCCTGGGCAACTTAGTGACTTAGCAAGACCTTATCTCAAAATAAAAACTAAATAGGGCTGGAGATGTAGCTCAGTGCAGAAGCACTGGGCTCAGTCCCCAGTACCACAACAAGATCAATCAATCAATCTCAGGATGGAGAGCCTGTACTCAGAGGAAGAGCAGTTCTCCAAACATTGAAAGGCAAATTCACAACCCATGCTGCCTGGAGAAAAGATTATAGATCAGACAAACAATAGACGTGCTGAAAAGTCTGGGAGGAAAAGCTGGTGAGAGATTTTTTGAGGAAATGAAAAGCTCCCTAAAATTTCAGGGAATTTAGGCTGGGCATGGTAGCACAAACCTGTAATCCTGTACTGAGGAGGCTGAGGCAGGAAGACTGCTGTGAGTTCCAGGTCATCCTGGATTACCTAGTTTAAGATCAACCTGAACTACATACTGAGACCCTGTCTCAAAAACAAAACAAAACAAAACAAAACAAAACAAAAAAAAAACCAGGGAATTTAGAAAATTATAATAATACACACAATTGAATACTATTCAGCCATAAAGAAGGATAAATTTGTCATCTGTGAGAAAATGGATGTACTATAAGATCATTATGCTAAACTAAATAACTCAAAGTTTAATATTGCATGGCTTCTTATATGAGAAATCCAAAGTAAAAATAATTTTTTTTTTTTTTTTT